AAAGTGTCCAATATTTAAGCGGGTACTCCTTGTGTCGTGATACAAGTTGAGAGACACAGAAAAATATATTATTTATAACATGTGGAGTACCGCTTGAATATCGGACACTTGAAAAATCTTTCCACTGATATCCGTATCTAACCCAATAACGCTATTGCTTTATTTAAAAAAAAAAAAACACAAAAACAGATAAATTAAAATAAATTTCAACAAAAAGAATTTAAAATAATAAAAAGAAAAAGACAATTACAACATGCTCCGATAAAAAGGATACACTGTTTTGTTTTAAAATAAAATGGAAACATAATTTACAAAAAAAGTCCGTTTTATAAAATATAAAAGAAAAATCATTTCCTCACGCGTGTGCAAGGGGCTATTAGTATTTTAACCCTAACCAAAAGCGCAAGTTCAAAACCGTTCAGCATTTAAACCCTAACGGTAGGGTGATAGGATCAAGACAAACATATCTCCCTCTCCGCAACATGAGAATAATGGTACAAGGTAGCGATCCTCTCTTGTTCATCTGAACAAACTCATGGCAGTGATACATATGAAAGAGACATATATATATATATATATATGTATATGTGTATGTGTGTGTGTGTGTGTGTGTGTGTGGTCGAAATTAGCTAGGTTAACAATATTTGTTCTGCTTGAATTACGATCCTCCATTCTAAACTAGTATTTCTTCTCACATTTGTTTTAAGCAGTGTCCTAGCTAGTTGAATACGATTCATTAGTTTCTTCATCTTTCCTTCCGAGTTTGGTTGCATAGGTATCCTTAGTTCGAAATCATTTTTTTGGTTATGTTTTTGCTTTTACATTTGTGTGGTTGCATTCGGATTCTTAGTTCGAAACTATTGTTCTTGTAGGTTTGGGGTACTGAGCTCGATTCCATTTGTGTTTCCATTTGCGATTCACCTCGAATTTCATATCATTTTTTACGATAAATTAGCCTTTTTTCTTTGCTGCTTACTATTATTAATTTCGGTTTTGATTTTCGTTTCGGTTGTGAGATTTTTGTGCTGCTTACTGTTATTAATTGCATTCTGTTTTGATGTGTCGCGGAAATTCGTGATTCAGTTTGAATATGATATCTATTCTATTTGTTGGGGATCGATGCAGTCCTATCATTTTTGCAGAACCGGTTTCTGCCGCCATGAAAGGTGGCCATACTGCTACTAAAGGAATTCGCTGCAACACACTACGCCAGTCTGTTGGAGCCCCCTCTGACTCCGATCATCTGTCTCATCACTCGAAAGGATCAAAATTATCACCAAGAGTGCCATCACATGCTCTCACAGTTGACAAACTTCTTGACACTTTATTGGTTGAAATCTTTTGTCGACTTCCTCGGGAATCTGTTGGTCGATGCAAGTGTGTGTCAAAGCGATGGTTCACTCTCATCCGGTATCATTATCTATGCCTCAGCAGACAGGAAGAAGGATTCATGTGTCTTACCTTAAATAGAGATAATAAGCCGCAGGGAATTGAATATTTTGTCATGTCTAATCATTCTGCGAAAATCAAAATACGCGGGCTTTGTATGGATTTCCTTCCCGGCTTTCACTCAAGTATAAGAGACCAATTTGAGATATTAGGGACGCATGATGACTTATTTTTGTGCTGCATTAGATTGTATTAACCATGTAAATACTACATCTGCAATCCTGACACCAAGCAATGCGTTGCTGTTCCTCGGAACCCTACCCACGCAGACGTTTGGCACAGACGAGGGGGATTCATTTGTGAGCCCTACTACAAGTTCTCTAGCGAAGATGGTACTGGACCTATCAAAAAGGTAGAAGTAATACGGTCCAAGTTAATTCGGACTATAGATGCAAGGTTGTGCTGATAAGTAAATTCACTGGACCCTCCGAGTTCAAAGTGGAGATCTACTCTTCGGAGACTGGTACATGGACTGAGTCACTTGTATCTTGCCCACAACGCATTAGCTACACTCATATGACTAAGCAAGGCGTTTCTTATAATGGAATGTTGTAGTGGTTGGCTTCTGGTGGCTTCCTTATTGGGTTGGATATGTTCAACATCGACATGACTGCAAGTGCCACTAGTAGAAGTGTCAATGTTATTGATCAAAAGCATTGCCGTTTTGTTGAATTGGGTCACTATTATGACAATGACTTTGAAAGAACTAAGTGCCTAGGTATGTGCGAAGGGCGTCTTCGAATGTGCAGTTTGCTTGCCCACAATGAGGCAGGGCAGGTTTTGGCTGTTTGGGAGTTGAAAGAAGAAGAGGATAATGGCAAATGGTGTTCGGTACACAAGATTTTGTTCGACCAAATGGATTTGGCCATATCTCTAAACAGCCTTCAGTGGAGGAATCGAATTACACCAGTAGCTGTCCACCCAAATAATGAGGATGTCCTGCGTATAGATTTGAACAGAAATCTTGTCATGTGCAAAACTCGTACAAGAGAGTTAAAGGTAGTTAGGAAGAACAGCCATGCCAGCCAACATCCATACCTAAACTAATGAGGATGTCCTGCGTATAGATTTGAACAGAAATCTTGTCATGTGCACAAGCCTTCCAAGTTTTTCTCCCATGCCTGCCAACATCCATACCTAAACAAGAGGACCACAGTCTGACCAGAAAGAAACGGAAATTAAAGAAGAAAAACAAAGTAGAGAGTAGTAAACCTTCCGGGGTAGATTGATTGGGGACGCCGGTCGGACTTCTCCGCCGTTATGAAATGTGCAGTTTAGTACTTCTTCTAAAATTTGAGTCTTTTTTTTATCTTCAGGGGTAAGAATGAGTTTCCACGTTACAAATGCACAATAATATTTGATGGTTTTTTTTTTTTTCTTCCTTCTTTTCTAAAAAGAGTAATCGTTACTTTGTGAAATTAAACTCTTATTGTGATGCCCCCATGGATTTGCAATACTTGTAATAGCACTGTTGAGTTTTCTGTTTATACAAATGAGTTCTTCATTTTTTATTTTTTTTTTGTTTATTAGTGAATTTATTTGTTCTTCAGATTTTAGTAACTGGGAGGTTTTTGTTTTATTTTATTTTTCCTTCTTTTCTGAAAAGAGTAATCGTTACTGTGAAATTAAACTCTTATTGTGATGCCCCTATGGATTTGCAACACTTGTAATAGCACTGTTGAGTTTTCTCTTTACACAAATGAGTTCTTCATTTTTTTTTTTTTTTTTTTTTTTGTTTATTAGTGAATTTATTTGTTCTTCAGATTTTAGTGACTGGGAGGTTTTTATTTTTTATTTTTTTTAACAAGCGATATTATCTATATTAAAAAAAAGAATGTGGGCTTAGCCACCTCACAATGGGCTAATAATAATTTGGTTCAAATTCGCCTTTAGCGATAATCGAATATAAGATCTCTCTCACTTACAAGTGAAGAGAAATATCACTAGACCGTAATACTAAGTGACTTGATTGTTAGTAATAATATAAGCAGTGGCTGGAGTCATATATATACCAAAGAAAATACCCTTCAAGAAAATAGGCAAGCTATTCGACTTTCTCCGGAGAGAGTTTAGAGAGGGGGTTCCGCCTTCTGTCTGCTAGACTCTCTATCCCACCACTTGGTTTGCTTTAATCTTGGTATTTTCAGCCGCCCTTTAGACCATCTCCAATGGTTGGGCTAAAAGCTAAATTTTTTAGCCCGAAAAATTTAGCTTTTAGCCCAAAAATAATTTTTCTGCTCCATTCGTTCTAGCCTAAAATTTTAGCCCGGGATTTTATGAACATTTTAATCTAAAAAAATTAAATTCCGATAAATATTGGGTGGAGTCCACTCCAATTTCTGGGCTAAATTTTGGGGGGAATTTGGCATTGGTTTAGAATTTAGCATTTAGCCCAAAATTTCCCCTCGGGTTGAAGTGGGTTTAGGGGGAAATTTTGAGGGGTAATTTGGCTTTTAGCCCACCATTGAAGTTGGTCTTAGGGGCAACCCTTTTTTTTCTTTTTGTGGCGGCTTTTTCGCCCTCAGTGGTGGCTTCTCTGCCGTGTGTGGCACCTGTGCTAAATTTGGGTCATAGAATTCTTCAATATATTCTTCTCCTTTAGGAGGAAAGATATATAATACAACTTTACTTACCAAGCAACGATACGTAATAAAGTTTACCTTAATTACAAGGAAATACAATCAAGAAACAAATCCCGCTACTTAGACTCAATTATGCCAAGAATGTCAACTTACGCCAACATTATCTCTCAAGTTGGTGCATAGATGTCGCTAATACCCAACTTAACAAGTGAGTTGTAGAACGCTTGACTAGAAACTTTAACAAGTGAGTTGTAGAACGCTTGACTAGAAACTATCATTGTCAAAATATCCGCCAACTAATTTTTTTGATTTTACGAACGAAAATTGAATTATTTATGTCTAATTTTTCCTTAATGTAATGTCTATCAACTTCAACATATCTAGTACTATCATGTGGAATCGGATTATGAGAAATATCAATGGCAGCCTTATCATCACAAAACAAGTTTGTCACATACGTGAATACCCTAGTTCTTTGAGCAACCTCCAAAGCCACAATAGCTCACACAATCCTCTCGCCATACTTCTGTATTGTGCTTCTACACTTATCATGCTTTAAGATGTATTTTTAAAAAGTGTAACACTATGAAACTTATATGTAATGAAAAGCTTAATAATTGTCATACAAACTAGACAATCAGTACTGCATGGTCAATATTCGATTTTTTTCAACATCAAGACGGGGTGCATGGTATGATAAATTGAGACTCGTTAACATATAGAATGAATGACTCACTCTAATAAAGTAGGACTAACATGCACTCCTTGGAATACCGTCGTAGCATTTTTGACCAATAATACAATGTCATGTCTATTTATCAGCATAACTTTCCCATTATCAGTTTGGGCCGTCACAGTGTTGAACCTAGTATAGTTAAGTCCTTGTACCATTAATGGGCCTGTTCATGGACATTAAGCCCAAGAGGAACTTGAGGTATTGTGGTCCAAACCTTCCAATAACCCTTTGGGAGTTCAGATGAAACGTAGTCTAAGTAGCATTATCCGACAACGGCGGAGTTTTGGCGCCATCCCCCAAAAAACGCCGAAAGCAATGGCGTTAGAGCGAGCAATTCCGGCAGCAACAAGCACAACCTTTCTCGCCAACCCCAAAGTTCCCGCCTTTTTCCCAACTACCAGCCACTTGGCCTTCGCACGGCGCCGTTTCAATCTCAAATGCGCGATGGAGTACAGTAGAGACCAGTACAACGGCAGCGGGAGCAGCATTCAGGTGCCGATAACTTTCCCTAGACCGGCGGAGGTCCAGTGGAAAAAGGAGCTGTGCAATATGGTGCACCTCATCGGCGTCGTCGGTCTTCCCGTCGAAATTAAGCACCTCCCCTCCGGAAAGGTCCTCGCTTGGACCCGCCTCGCCGTCAAGAAGTCCGCCACCGATACCTCTTGGTAATAATTCTTTATCGATTTTCGGGGTTTTCGGGTTTATTCATATTTTGCAGTTAATGGCATCCATTCAAATTTTGGATTTTGATGACTGATGCTCAGTTGTTTTGCTCTGATGCTTCCAATTAGTGTGGTTTTGCTCTGATTCAATCATATTTTTTTTTGTTTGAGAGAATGTGAAACGTTAAATTCAAATGGGAATTTGACATTAAAATTTCTTTGAATGTCTCGCAATGCATAATTTTTTAGGAAATATGCAACAACAGAACCGGTTACAAACTTTTTAATAAAAAATAGAACTTGGTAGACACTAAACAGACAATAAATCGTATATAAAGCCTATTGTTTGTTAAGTTTGTAACCGGTTCTCATTGCTCATATTTTCCAAGTTTTTCAGTTAATATAATCTTAGTAAAACTGTGAATGCTGCTGTGAGTATAAGGAGTGTGGGAGGGAATTAATTATGAAAATTGGGTTTCCTTTTCTTTCAGGATCAATCTGACATTTTGGGATGAGCTTGCACATGTTGCTTTTCAGCATGTAGAGAAAGGCCAACAAATATATGTATCGGGCCGGCTGATATCAGATTCTGTTGAAACCGATGAAGGGAAGCAGCAGACCTATTATAAGGTTTTTTGGCTTCTGGTCTTTCTAGTTGTAGTGAGATTCTGACGTTTGTTTGTTTAGAAAATGAATTTGATCTGATGCAGGTAGTTGTTCAGCAACTGAATTTTGTTGAAAAGGGCTTTTCATCGCCGGCCATGAAAGATCACGACTCTGATTCCTTTACAGCGGGCAAGTCATATCTTCAGTAACATGAGTCTAGATAAGAGCAGAAATACCATTTGTTCTTATTAATTTTATTCTTTTCTTGCAGGCAGAAATCTTGGCAGCAATGCCACAAAGAACATAACGGAAACCACTCAAGAATTATGGCAAGCCTTCTTTGCTAATCCAGTTGACTGGTGGGATAATCGGAAGACCAAGGTACTTTATTTGATCCCTATATAAGTCGACAATATGTATTCTTTCATTCTTGAGCACAGGTTTGTATCCACTGCAAGGCCGGCCCTGATTAATAGTTCCAATTGAAAGTAGTCATAAAAAATACTTTCATATGTTTACTTTTACTTAAATGTAACACGGTTTTCGTTGTTTGTTTTTATGGGCTTTTCATTTGTTTGGTCAATAAATATGAACTTCAATACGGAAAAGGAGCCAAGGATCAAACATTACAAAAGCTTAAAAACATAGAAGTGATTTCTCTTATGCTTGTGTAGGCCCTAGAAAAGAGCCCTGATCTGAGGAGTCCTATAAACATGAGTTTGGTAGATATATGGATTATAGACCATCTGAACTTTTGGGGTCCTGTACAAGTGCACCGGTTGCACCTGTCCATGGCCGCCCCTTTGTGTGCACAAATGCAAAAACATTGTTGGTGCTGCAAGGACGAGAAGAAACTGTGTTTTACACTGTTTCTACACATGTCGATGATAAATGTTGAAATAGAAATGGTTGGGAATGGAATACATATTTACGTTTGTTAGACAAGTGCTCGGTTAATGCCATATGTGCACATGTAAACTTTTAATTTCATGTCATCTGCTGTTTGTTCAGATTTCTGATAAGAAAATGAGAAAAAAACTCACTCTTGTTTACTTGGTTTTGTTTTATGATTTTCAGAGGAACCCAAAATATCCGGATTTTAAGCATAAAGATACTGGAGAAGCCTTGTGGATTGAAGGCCGGAACAATCCGCCATGGGTGAAGTCCCAACTTGCTATACTGGATACAAGAATGGGGACCCTTAATGACCAAGAACATAACCTGCATACAGATATATTTGATGGTGATAGTTTTTCGCCTTTCTAAGTGCTTGTGGTGCTAGCTGTAGGAAACCAGTCTTTGAGGCGTAATTTATGTATAGTCACTATCAATTTTTGGTGGAGATACTGAACAAATCGGCTTTGTTTCTATATTTTGTAATCTTGATTTGCAATTTATATGATATGCTGGTGATCTTGCTTTTCATCCTTCTAGAACTTGGCAATGACTTTACAGTTTAGAATTTTGGCCTGGGATATCATACCAGTTTAATTACAGTAACACCAGAAAGCTCTCGATGGAACGATAACTATTGAAGAACTGTACAGTATAGCTAAAAAAAGTAATGGAAATTGCCATTAACGAAAGGTACGAAAAGATGAATGGAGAAACAGCTACATGTATTTGGATCTACACAAAACTGCTGTATATTAGACTTTGTGTGACACGCCCCGATCCTGATGTCTGAGGGGTTGTGGGATGGCCACGTGCTGGCAGACAATCGAGGGTGACGCAAGTCATTTAATGAATGCATATGTCGAGAACATGTGAAACATGCATACGAATTTCGCGCAAATTACACAATGTAATATTCATATACAAATCTTACCAAAATAATATAATAATATTCAACCGTCAATAAAATGATAGTGATAATGCATGACATGCTCAGAGCATAGATCTAATTCAGAATACAAGTGAAAGGTGTGACAGAAAATGCTATTACAAGTGATGTCGAAAGCAGAGAGGATGACTCAATATTACTGGTAGGGGAATGCCTCGTAGCTCGAATCGTATACCTCGTTCCTATGTCCTGAGAGGGCGCAAAACAAACATGAGTGAACTAAGTTGATATATAAGTAGTACTAACATAGTTATTCAACAACGTACTAAACCCCAAAGTTTATGAAAACTTATATAGCATAATAAGTAATAGGTTTTCCGAAAACCCTAGCATGCCATAAAACTTCATAAAACATATATCATATATAGTGTGCTTAGTAGTGGTATCATCTCCTGCCCGAAGGTATATAGAACTCTTCTGACTGAAGCCATATAAATATCTTCCGCCAGTAGGCACTACAACCCCCGACCGAAGCCAATATGAGTATCTTCCGATAAAGTATGGTATTCCAAAATATTCTCAGTAAAGCATGATATCTCATAAAGTGTAAACCTAATTTACTCATAAACGTTTCATAAAATGTAACTACTAAATCATATTTTTCATGTATGCATTTCGAATAGTAAAATATGCATTTTAGAAGGGGTCCACTCATAGATACTTTGTCGTCGAAGAGCCGTGCGAATGGGAGGGACGAAAATGCTGCTAATAATTGTACTTAAGCACATAAAGCGTCCAATTAATACAACTCTACCAGAACGATTGAATTTCGAAAAACGGACGTCATAAACGGATTCAAAACATCGAAAAACATAAGGAGGGACCTCAAGTACCCCCACGCTCCGCTGCATGGGCCCAAGTCCAATTATCAAGGTGGCGGCCCCAAAGGCCACGGTCCATAGTACCTACGGTGGAGGCGCGTGGAAGGCAGACGCCCATGGGCGGCCTAGGTTCTGGTTTGGTTTCTAGGCTGGGTTGGTATTTGGGCTTGGGTCAAGGGATAGTGGCCCGGTTCTCAATTGGGTTTAGGCTTGGGTTCTTTGAGCTAGGCCTAAAGCTGGGCCAACAGGTTTCAGGTTTGGGCTTAACAACTAGGTTGGGTTCCATGGTTCAAATCTTTGGGCCGGACTAGGGTTGTGGGTTTGGGTTTAGGGCTACTGGGTCCGGTTTAACCTGTTTTCAGGCCAAGGTTTGGCCGATTTCTGGGTACAACTTCAAACGCCCATAACTTCTTTGATACTCAACCAAATCAAGTGATTCAAAATCCAAAGTTGTAGTACTCAACGAGATGAAGAGAATGGTATAAAATGGCTAACTCGCCGTGGTTTGGCCGGAAAACTAGGAAAAGCAACCCCAAGCTATTTTCTGCGTTTAACACGTATGTACAACTTAAAACAAGCTTCGATCTGCTCTTAAAAAACATCCCAAGAGTTTCTATAAGTTTACCTTCGTCAAAAAATTCACAAAAACCACCAGAGCTCGTTGGGGAAGTGATCGCCGTGACTGCCATGGTGGAGCACCAACTCGACTTGGGGTTCTCCGGGTTGCACATCCAGGTGGTGGTGGTTGTTTGTTGTGTGTGTGAGTGAGTCATAGAGAGGAGAGGGAGAGCTTGCAGAGAGGGAGAGAGCTCGGGGAGAGTGGAGAAAGTTAGAGAGAAAGAGAAAGTGAGATAGATGAAGAGAGAGAGAGTATTAATATAATACTAAAGCATAGGGAAAATATCCCAAAAAGGAAAGGGAGATCCGGATAGGGTGAGGGGCTAAAGGGACAAAATTTCCATGTGGGTCCTCCTTGGTTTGCAATTTAAGAACGTAATATATGAAACACAAAATATTCGAAAAACGTTTGATGTTTGAACGTAGGATTTTCATTATAAATCCGAATTTGAATCCGTTTGCGCCTACACGTTCGTGGCGATAAGTACATTAAGAATCATTTCATAAAATTAAAACTAAGCGTTTCAACGAGACGGTCAAACAAGGTCAATTCAAGGGCAAAATGGTAATTTCATAAGTCCGTTATTATGAAAATACGCTAAATTTGGGACGGGATTTCACATTGTGTAACCTTATCGTTATATATATATAACCTAATATTATTAGGACAAATGGAACATGTCATCCTCTCTGTACAATTTGCATCCCAGCTAATAAGTTTCTTGTCCGGGTACCTTGTTTTTTAAGCAAATATCGATTTCGAAAACAAAAGAAAAAAAAGAAAGTGTATTGTCTGAGCTCCATGTATATCAGTGTCTTTTCCTGTAGTTTTGAGGAGTTTTAAGTGCCTCCTTAATGTATATATTCATCCCTCTTTTTGCATGCCTTCAGAAACAAGTAGTCAATCCTCTGGCTTCCGATCCCTTCATAATTCTCAGCCTATTGCAGGAAGAAACAAACATACTGCAACCACAACAAAAAAGAGTAATTAGATACGAGTTTTTTCAGAGATCGAACGGATCATATGAATTCTAAAGGAAACTGCAAAGATAGGGTTTTAATCGAAAAATATGAACTTACGTCCATGGGACATCTCCAACAAGCATCCAGTCACCATCTTTGTCTTCATAAGTCGGAGCAAAATCCGATCCATTAATATTGGCTAGGTTGAACATCTTCTCTAAGGCCTTGATGAGTTCCGGGTAGCTATTGTAAATCTTGAGATCAATCTTTCTCAGATAAGGAGCTCCATCGACGCTTACTTTCACGTACACATCGGACTTTTGCAGTTGCAAACTGTTTTTCCTGTAAGATCTGATTGGAGGCCACCCTACTACTTGTGTCCTGCACACATTTCAATCATTAATTAGCAACATGATTACTTAACTAAAACTTCTTAATCAAATATTAACATGAAACTCATAGTCCATATATGAATGTTGCTTACTTGGTGGGAGGGGCATCTATGTGATCAGAATTTGTACAGCATTCCTCAGCTGTTGAATCCGGCGAGGCCCTCTTGTTATTCTTTGTCATAGGAGGAGATGCTGCTGCTTTTTTGTTCTCAGGCTCCTCGGAGCTTCCAGGCAATCCTAATCTTAGCTCAGTTGCCTTGAAATTTAGCTGGTCTTCCATCTTAATCACTTTGCTAACAAAAACCCTAATGGTTTTGCAGATTACAGACGAATTTGCAGAAGGAGAATAATTAAAGAGAAATGTGTTTAGGGTTTGTTGTGAGAGATTTTGATTGCTTCAGTCAGGTGGAAGTTGAAGTTTGATTTGATTTCCTTGAGGAGAAGATGTGATGGCACTCAAACTTTTATAGGAATATTGTGAGAGGGACAATATACTGTTAGGTGATTTTCATATTTCATGGTGCATGGCAGCATGAGATTCACTCATTATTTCATGAATGGCAACATCACATGCTGTCCCCCACGCGTTAGTTCAATGACCAACCACAGGTGGACAGTTGGACATACTGGAATTTCAAAGCGGGGCCTACGCACTCTACCCATCGATTACTTGATTAGCAATGTTACGAAAATCCCTTTGCATATCACATTTCACATTGTAGACTGCGTCTCTAATAAACTTGAAATTTGAAGATAATTGGTTTCTTAAAATCCATTATTTCCTCTCTTCTCACTTTTTTAGTTATTGGATTAATCGTATAATTCAAATGAGAATCAAAAAATAAAAATAAAAGAATGATACAAAAAAGAAAAGAAAATGAAAGTATGAAAATTACTACTTAATTTAAAACTAATGTAGAGATGTGTTTCACAGTATGATTTATAAATGGTGATACAAAGTAGTCTTACTCTTAAGAATTATATTTCAAACCGGTGTTTGGGACACACGTCCACACATACACAAATGTGTGAGTATAAGTTATTAATGCATTTGAGACCTAGAATACGTTAAGTATTTTTCTTTACACATAAACAATTGCCCTCAACATATTTCTTCAATTTTATTAGAAATTAGATATGCAAAATCATTTTGTTTTTAATTGATTCGATGTGGGTGGTATGAATGATTTCTTGATTTCGGTTAGACAAGTGAAGATATGGATGCTACTCAGATCAGGAACACCGTGCTGTATGGTGCCCGATTGGAAGGGGACAAAGGAGGGACAACCATAGCCGATGCTTCTGAAGACCGCGGACTGATAATGGACGGCTGTGATCGGCAGTTAAGGCAGGCTTTGGGACTGTTCACACAGCACCATTGATCAGGAGGATGGAACGTAAAAAACAGGCCCATGTGACTGCATACGGTCCCATGTGGCTGTTGCGGATTGGGTAGGCACGGCCATGTGGGCAGAGATAAGTGGGACCGGAAATTTAATTGGCCTGTGCTTACATGACATGTGGGATTCCATGTGGTATGGTCAGCTGACCTTTCCCGCTCTCTTTGCCTCACCCTAACCCTAATCCATCTTATTTCTGGTGGTTGACCGTTGACTGGCTTAAACTAATACATCACAATATAATACATTATAAAAACATCATTTTAATTTTAGTTCACAATATAATACAATATTAACACATGGTTAAATTTTCTAACGAAAGATTTATCATTATGTTTATTTGAACGATATGCAAAATAATCTAATTTAAAATACGAAAAAGAAAATTTGAATCTTAATAGAAAATAACACATTATTTCAAATAATTTGACTATGTTCAAGTCTGCAAACACATATGATATTTCAAGAACAAAACAAAAGCATATTTTATCCAAAAAAATTTATATAACATCTATGCCCTTGGGAAGTAAATGAGATATGATGCCAATATGCATGCATGTGTGTGAATTTTGAACTCTTTTCTAATCATCCAATTTGAGCCTTTTAAGAAGATGGAAATATAATATACAAGGTGATGAAAGTGACCACATTCGTGCATATTATTATTCGCGCAATTCCAAGAACTAGAAATAACTCATGATTATTATTAATATTTATGACAAAAATGTATTAGAAAGTATAACTTTGTCTTGTATGTGAAGCAACAAATTTTACATGGATATCTGATTTGCAAAGTTGCTTAAATTTTAGCGTGAACATCTTTTTTCCCATAGCTAGCTACTTCCCAATGTTGCATCTTTTGGATATATCAGCGTGTTTTTAGGGTTTCCACTGATCGATTCATGCTTTAATTACCATTCCACAGAAAGGAATACATATTCGAGTTTTTTTTTTTTTCCATCAATTTTGGTTAAAGACCATGCATGCTTGATCATTCACAAGATAAATAAATTTTTTAATAAGGAGAAGAAGAAGAAGTTGAAGAACGGACACCGACACGACCTAGCTAGCTGGTTCGAAGCAACTTTTGGAATTGGACAGCCAAATTCTGAGTTTTTGACAGGGAAAGATGTGCATGTACACACAAAGAGACAACTCAGAACTGATAAGCCATGCAAAAAGGAGGAACAACGGACAAGAAAAGTGTCAACATTAAGCCATTCAATATTGAACACTCTTTTCTGTGAACCCAGCTAGCTAGGGTTGGCTAAACACTTATAATTATAATACGGCAAGCAATATACAAGGAGTTTGTAGTTCAAGTCTTTATTAAGAGCATTTGTTTTCACACTCGAGGTCCCCGAGTGAGTTCCCGGTCAACAAGGACTGCTGACAAGACGAGTGTGATGGTCGGGTCTACCACCTTCAATCTTCGTCATCTTCATGAATAGATTGGGCCACGGACTCCCAGGGCATTGATTTCTTTGTGTCTGTCCATGCCTTCGCTACTTCCCTCTTATTATGTCCATGCATTCTGGCCATCGTAATTAATGATAGATTAGATGGGGCAAATTGGAAGACAAATGTACATACACGTGTGACATGATAAGACCGATTGCTGTCGATATCAAGTGGGCCTTAATCCACGCGTGGGTGCAATGCAACGCACAAGTTTTGAGTTTTTGGAGTTTTAGGGCTTTGAAGGGGCTGAGAAGGTCCATTACCAGAAGAGCTTGTCCCTTTAAAGCTGAATAAATGGTAGTCCTATATATATGGGGTTCTGGCCCGTCCGCCATGACATGCCATGCATACCCATATTTCAAGTCGTGTCTCTTCATGAAGCTTGTCACACTCAAACATTGTACATACAGTGTGTGTGTATACATCATCACTCAATTATATATGAACGATATGCTGGCAACAGTTGCCCACACTCTTGGGTGATGTCAGTCAGATGTTCTGTGAGACTACTCAATTGTATCGACCGTCAACAATCATTTACGAATGCATGAATAATGTCGTGTCGTATCACTAATTAAAACTACCATTGTGTAGATTTGTCGCTAGGGTCGGCCTTTAGCAATGACAATAGTTTACGTGCCACGAGTATACGGTTATCGTGGTGTCTCTTGTTGAGAAAGAATGAGTCTTACATTAATGGGAGAAATGACCTTACATGGACTTAGAAGTAAGTTAAGCTACTCTCCATAATGCAAATTGGTTTTATAATGGAACCTCAACTATCTTCATGATATATATCAGAGCATGCAGGTTGTCCCATGTGTGAGGCCAAATGACCACACGTGCCTCACGTCATTCCGTTGTTTTGTCCATGTGTAAGGCTTGAAAATTCCCCACACGTGAGGGGACGTGTTGAGAATGAGTCTCAAATTGACAGGATGAGAGACCTTACATGAGCTTATAAGTAAGTTGGGCTACTTCAGGTGGAATCTCAACTTTCTCCATCTCCTACGTATCATAGTGTCATATAGAGAGAAGCTAACACATGTCAATATTAACATTTAGATACCGTACATATCATGCATATAGTGTCATGTAGAAAAAAGTGTGACCACCCCCGGTCTGCATCTGCAGGGAGGTCCCAACTAGCTACACAACGTTAATGCTAATGGAAAGCATAATGTAATGCGTGTTCATACTCTGTAGTTTGTACTTAGATTTGAATTGGCACCTTATGTATAGAAATATTTATTTCTATAATATAAAAGGTCTCGTTACACCTTCACCTATCTGTATAAAAAACGAGGCATATATATGTTGCCAAATGAACAAGTAACACAGAAATCTTCATGTCATGTTAAACCGTTGATTCGATACACACACACACACACACACACATATATATATTAGTAAACAGAAAACTACTAAACGGTAGATCTGTCATCTATGTGCTATACATTAGCATGTGTTGCATGCATGAACTGCAGCAGGCAGCAGCTGCGACTTCTATATATATATATACCAAGATTAAACGGAGGATTTACATTTATATATAACGAACTTGATTACGGGAATAAAAAGATTCCATGCATAGAGACTTGGAGAACAAAATTATACTGCTGATTTGCTATTTAAACCCTAATCCCGAAACTATTTGACTTTAATCTCTTTTTAACATGCATGACACCGTCCAATGAATGAAACAAATTCTAGCTGTGGTGAAAGGAGGAAAGGGAAAATTAATAGAAGGGAATAAACTAGTGTTACCTATATATATAATCATTGAATAATTATTGTTTACGTACCAACAAAAATTAAAATAATATACAAAGAGAAAATGTAATGATTGTATTACAATGATTACTGATCATGATCGAGCATTTTGGCAGATGGGTGTTGCATTATACATTTTCTTGTTTATTATGTAGTACATATATATAAATGAAAGTCTAAATTTTTTATACTATAATGATATATCTCAAGAGTTATATATATGAACTTACTCATATATAATGAATCATTTCTCTTTACTTGTAGATCACTATTTCACACGTATGTATAAGTAATTCATTCAAATAAACAAACATGAAAGGTTGTGTATACAAATGAGGGTTAGACAATTGGTTAGGAAATGATAATTTATCCGCTCTCTTACACCTGATTTTGAATCTTTCTTTTCTTATATTAAAGTAACGTAGAATATCGTGTTGTTGAGAATAAAAGAGAAACAAATTCAGGTACAAACATGTTAAATTATAATTTGTCTATATGGAGGAATAATTCATGACATATAAAGAGTAAAGAGCGGAATAATTTTTTGTTAGAGAAATTTTTCTAAGTATCGAGTACACAAGATAGCTGGTGTTCCCCACGAATGGGCACATGACACCTGGGTTTCTTCTTTTTATATTTCACATGTTAGCACTTGAGTTACCATCTTCCTATTTAGTCCCTAATACTCAACTTTTTAGAAAATAATAAATAAAAAACAGAAAAAGTTAAATTAAACACAGAACCCAGATTCTCGTTCTGGGTCTTCGACCTCCACCCCACCCTTCTCCCCCTCACCTCTTTTTCCCGTCCTCTTCCTATT